AGTATCATTCAGTGCCCTCTTCAGCAAAGGCCTGATCACAATGGGAAGAAGAGGCCTGACCCTTTGCCAAGCCTGAATGACAGGAGGCTCAGCCCTCATGGGAGGGCTTCATATCTATACACTGTCATGCCTGCTTTGCCTTTGAACACATTTTCTTGTAGAAATGTTGGTGTTCTGATCCATAAATCTTAAGTTCCACAGCCTTTGTAGGACCTAAGTACCATGTGTAAAACAGGCTTTCCAAAAGAGTATAATCTGAGGCCCCTGCATTTTTTTTTTATTAAGTAGTCAATTCATTCAAATGATTTGAAAATCCAAAATCATAAAAAGATATAGCCTGAAAACTTTCTTTTTCACCCTCATTCCTTTCCATCCACTTCCCCTGAGAGCAGTCACCACCATTATTAACTTCTTATGTATGCTTCCAGAAATATTGTATGAACATACCACCCAGAGCAAATATATTTACACAGTTTTGCACCTTTTTATTCCTTTGAAGATGCGCATCTTTGGTTTCTTGTCATTGGTACATGTTAAAAACTTTATCGTTTTTTGAGATGTAATTAGTATTCATTTGCATGGATATACTTAATTTATTTAACCAGCCCTCTGAAGGTGGATAGTTAGGTTGTTTCCATCTCTCGGCTATTATAAACTGTGCTGGTTTGAACACTCTATACTTTTTCCCCCATATATATAAGTGGAATAAGTCCCTATTAGGGAATCTGGGATCAGAAAGCACATGATTGGCAGTTTTTATAGATATTGCCAAACTGTCTTCCATTGAAGTTGGACCTGTTCATGCTTCTGCTGTCGGTGTGTGGCAGGGGAGGAGGGTTCCTGGTCCTCATCAGCTCACTGCATTGCCACACAGTTGTGTCTTAAACAGGCTTTGAAATGTGACCCTTTCATGATTTGGGAGCTGATTGAATTCTCAGAGAGTGTGCTCATTCAATGACAGGTCAAGATCTTAAACTCCAGAGCCCAGCCTCCTAGCTTAGTGCTTGATAGCATGTGACCTTGGCAGGATGACTTGACTTCTGTGTGCCTCAGTAGTGTCTCATTTGTAAAATCAGGAAATTAATATACTAGAAACAGCATCCTCCTGGGTTCTACATCAAAGGTTGGAATAGTGCCTGACTTCTAGGCTGCTCTGTCATACAAAGATGCTGCTGGCTCCTTCGAGACTGACATTCCCTCTCCAGGATCTGTCCCTTTTACTAGTGGATAAGCCACCTCATTAGGTTGCTGCATAAGCCATGGCAGAGGTGGTGTTAAAAGAGCAGTCATCTTGGAAAGGAAAAGAGGAAAACTCATCAAGCTTTGTAGGCGTCCACTGGCTGATAAGCTGGGAGCCCAGAGTGTTCAGGAAGGAGAGGGGGAAGTGGTCAGTAAGAGACATCAGCACTGGATCACCTCTCCTAAGATGAAGACTGGGTGCCTCCAGCTGAGAGGAGGACAGATAGCAGATAAGATAGAGTGGGACTAGGTCAGAGCTCCCAGATGCTTCCACAACATCACAGACATCAACTCATTTAAAGTTGCAAGCCTGACATATTTGCCCAGAATTCCTTTTTTTTTTTTTTTTAACTTCAGATGTATTTGGGAGCTCTTAGGAATGGCACAGAGTAGACATTAAATATAAATTATTATTTTTAAAGTCCTAGAAGCCTAGAAGTCAGGCAGTAAAAACTATGGAAAGTAGTCCAAAAAAAAAAGAAGGAAAAGAAAAAACTCTGCAGAATCACCACCTACAGCTTCTAAGCTCTCTTACCTTTTCCCTTGCTTTCAGCCATGTCCCTCCAACCTTTGTCTTCCTGCCACTAACATAAAATGCAACTCTTGCTAAGCTGCAGGAGCCTCTGCCTGGAGGGCTGCAGAGCTCATCCCCTGTGCCTCCGAGAGCATCCCCTCATCGTCCTCACCATCCCAGATTCTTTTTCAGTTAAAGGAAGGGCTGGTGTGAGCGACCCAAGCAGAGAGGCAAAGAACTGCTGCTCTCTGGCTACATAGTCATGGGATTTTTAAAAACTTATTTGGAAGCTCCTCTAAAGGTCCCCGCCTTGAGTAACCCAGCTTCACCAGCTGGCCACAAGCAGCCCTTGTGTGGCCCTGAGTCGCAGTGTCTCCACAGCAGCTGCGTCCAGCCTGGTGTGCTGAGGACCACTGCTCCCATGCGCAGCTGTTCTTCAGAGCTGCTCACCACCTCCTGCAGTCTTGGCTCCTGCAGGCAGTCATCCATCCTGTGCCCAAAGAGCAGGACAGTGGTACCAGGAACCCTAGGCTGGGACCCAGCATTGAGCCTTTAAACAGGCAGGAAGTTCTGATGTTTTAGCAGGAAGACCCAAGGTCTCAACTTGTGTTACTGGGACAAGACCCAAATCAGAGCTAAAACTAACACTAGGACTATGATCCTGTCTTGTTTGGCAGCTCTGTGGTCAGCCCATTCAGAGTGGGAGCAAACGTTCCTGCTGCTGCCCGGGCCTCTGTACACCCAGAGCCACAGTGGGACTGGGTGTCTAGCTCATCAAACTCGGCCTTCTCAGGCCTAGTTGCTGGACAGCCTGCTGCACCCTGGGCAGGCCACTTTACTAACAGAGCTAGTTGTTACCTTTGTCAGTGGGTGGTGGAGCACCGTTCTTGTCACCTGCCACTGGCAAGTCAATTTAAAACTCTTGCTGAAAGGAAAGAAATATGGAGCAGATGCAGACAGCCTCCAGCTGCTACAAAACAAATGTGGCTCTCTTCAAGCCACCATCTAACCAACCCTCGGAGTATTTATTGGCAGGCTCTGCTTCCAAGACTGGAAAGCCATATGGGAGAAGTTGCAACAAAGATAGAGAAGAATTTAGCCTCTCCATGTCAACTGAGGCAGCTGAAGAATCGGAAGATTATTTTCAAGAGATAAGAGTTTCTCATCAGTAATGAAGGCCTGACATTCCCAAAGCCTTCATGTAGCTCTTCTCTTCTAATCTTATCATGTTGTATGGCCAGGGAGAGTGTGTTTTCTATGCTGGTAACAAATTACTACAGACCTAGTGGCTTACAACAGCCCCTATTTGTTATCTCATGTTATCTTACAGTTTCTGTGGGCCAGGGCTATGTCTCATCTGACACTTGACTGGGGAATGACATGTTCTCTAATATCATTGTCAGAATTCATCTAATGGGCCTGACATAGCACGACAGCTTACTTCTTCAAAATCAGCAATGGCGGTCTCTCTCCCATCAGCTCAGATAGGTTCTTCTCATTGTAACCTAACTGGGGTATGGCATATCACCTTTACCATACTATTTTGTACAGAAAGAAGTCATAGGTTCTACCCACAGAGGCATTAATATCAGCAGGCAGATCACAGGATTTTCTTAGAATTATTCCTACCCCATTGAGAGAGCCAAGCCTTACCAATAATGTTTCAGAATATTCCCAAATGAAGGCCCAGTCTATTTTATATAATAACAATGGTTTTTATTTTCTTTGAAATGGAGCAGTTTTGTTTTTTCCACCTCAAAATATCTTCAAATCCTCAAATCCTTGTCAGCTCAGTACTCTGCCACAGCTTGATTCCAACTCTAGCTCTTTTGATTATATTATTGAAAAAGGGTCATTTTTTTTCTTCTAATTTCCATTTTCTCATCTATAGGAATGCATCTTAAGAAGATTTTATTGGACACCTACATAATAGTCATTGTCACTAACACTTCAGTTTGTGTTAGCTTTTTGTTAACATGACCAAAATACCTGACAGGAACAGCATAGAGGCGGAAAAGTTGATTTGGGCTCACAGTTTCAGAGGTTCAGTCTGTGGTCAGTTGACTCTCTTGCTCTGGGCCTGAGGTGAGGCAGAACCCCCATGGTGGAAGGGCATGGCAGAGGGATATTACTCAGCTCATGGCAGCTGGGAAGCAAAGAGAGAGAGAGAGGTGTCAGGGACAAAATATAAACCCCAAAGTCATGTCCCTGGTGACCTTCTTACTCCAGCCAGGCCCCACTTGCCATGCAGTACAGCCTTCAGATGCTTAATCCAGCAAATGAATTGCTCCACCGATTAGGTTTCAGCTCTTAAAATATGATCATTTCACCTCTGAACATTGCTCTATTGCCTGATATGAGCTTTTGGTGGAGGGGTGTACCTCATATCCAAACCGAAATATAGCCTCTTTCCTGTTAGACTATTCATTTGATTGCATTAGTTTTATTTATGTACATAACTCAACAAAACAGTACTATTGACAGTGCTACTGTGCATACACCAAAGCACAAAAAAGAAAAAGAGAGAAAATATACTTAACAAGTTGTCATAGACTTTCTTCTTAGAATAGAAGGAAAGGACTAAAACCTTAGACATGTTCAGAAAATTGTGTCCATAGCCATATTTAAATATGTCCAAAATAGAAGAGAGATCCGTGGAATAGAAAAAGGGGATTGAGGGGGCAAGGAGGAGGGATCGAAAAAGGGAAGAACAGTAGAATGAATCTGACCTAACCTTCCTATGTATATATGTGAATATTCCATAGTAAATCTCGCCTTTATGTATATCTGGAAGACACTAGTGAAAAAAAGAAAAAAGAAGAACTATAAATAGCAGAAAGATCAGTAGGGTGGAGGGAAGGGAACAGGGGAAGGAAGAGGGAAGGGAAATGGGAAGTATTGGGGACTGAATTAGGGCAAATTATATTCCATACTTTCATAATTAGGTCAAATGAAGCCTAATATTATGTATAACTAAAAAATTAATTTACCAGGGCATTGATGTCATAGTTTTATAGTTTTTTAAGTCCCTCATTCTCTCTTTTTTTTTTTTTTTTTCCTGTTTTCAGGAAACTAAGTCAACTGAGATTAATAAATCCCTTACTAAGATTAAAAGTTGTTATCCTGCTTAGAGGAAGGAAACAAGATAAAGTTGGGCTGTAGGTGGAAAGTGGCCCTGCCATTGTGTACAGGCCAGAGTGAACCCTGAAGCTTCCAAAGATTAAAACCACTTTGGTTTCTTCTCCAGGTCTCTCCTCGCCCTGGAAGGGATTGGATGATGTAACCCACTCTCCAGGAAGCCCCAGGTGGCCGTGAGCTCAACCAGGTGTCTCAAACCCCATCTCATTTCAGAGCCACTTCTGAGCCACTCAAGGAAAATGATGTGACAGTTCCTAGCCAGAAGGACTTTGGGGGAACGTTGAACATCTGTGCAGAAAGTGGCCCTTTTCCCCTTTTTTGAAATAGACATTCTCAAATTCCAAAATGCCAGCCAAGACCCCGATCTACCTTAAAGCTGCCAACAACAAGAAAGGGAAGAAGTTCAAGCTGAGGGACATCTTGTCTCCTGATATGATTAGCCCCCCCCTGGGAGACTTTCGCCACACCATTCACATCGGCAAAGAGGGCCAGCACGATGTCTTCGGGGACATTTCCTTCCTTCAGGGGAACTACGAGCTTCTGCCTGGCAACCAGGAGAAGGCCCACTCGGGCCAGCTCCCCGCCCACTACGAGTTCTTCCGGGCCAACAGCACCTCGGACTCCGTGTTCACAGAAACGCCCTCCCCAGTGCTCAAAAACGCCATCTCCCTCCCCACCATCGGAGGGTCCCAAGCTCTTATGTTGCCCTTATTGTCACCGGTGACATTTAATTCCAAACAGGAGTCCTTTGGGCCACCAAAGCTGCCCAGGCTCAGCTGTGAGCCCGTCATGGAGGAGAAAGCTCAGGAGAAAAGCCGTGTGCTGGAGAATGGGACTATCCACCAGGGAGATGCCTCGTGGGGCTCCAGTGGCTCAGCATCGCAGTCCAGCCAGGGCAGGGACAGCCACTCCTCCAGCCTGTCCGAACAGTATGCTGACTGGCCGGCCGAGGACATGTTTGACCATCCCTCCCCATGCGAGCAGGTGAAGGGAAAGACCAAATCCCAGGAGTCCCTCTCTGACCTCACAGGTTCCCTTCTCTCCCTCCAGCTGGATCTTGGGCCCTCGCTTTTGGATGAGGTGCTGAATGTCATGGATAAAAATAAGTAACAGGATGCCAGCTCTTTTCCTTTGGGGTAAAAGGTACCAAAATAAACAAAAAAACAGAAACTCAGCTAACCACAGTTGAAGAGAAGAGCTTCCCTGGCTGTTTTTTTTGCAGTTACGTGATGTGTTTTCTAAAATAATTGTTCCTACAAAATATTTTTTTACCTGTTATGCCCTGTTTGCAAAAACAGTTTAGAAAAAGCAACAACAAAAACCCTATCCTGGCAAAAAGAGGAAATGAGTCAGAACTCATTTTTGGCGGGCACTGCTGATTGATGTTCAGCTAACATTTTTTTTGGTTTGCAGACACATAAGAAATCTGCCTTGGCCGGGATTGGCACTAGCTATGGAGAGCTGAGCAAGTCACACTAAGAAACTTCACAGTACTCCAACAGTTTATGAGTTAAGAGAAAGTCAAAATTTTAACACCTAAGCCTTTTTTTCTAGACTCTTTTGTATATGATATTGTTTGGGCTCATGATAGCAAATTCTCCAGTGTTAAAACTTTTCTCTGTTTTCACATTTGAGCAATTTTATGGGTTTGGGGGATTTTCTTGTAGTTCTTATATATCCCTTATATATTATATCTATATTGCAAAATTTTGACTGTCAGCTACATGTTGGTAAGACACAAGCAAGGTATTACTGTAACTAAGTTATTTTTAAAGTTAAAATATATTTTTATGTGCCTTTGGCTTTTTATTGCAGAGTCTACATTTTATAGATAACACATCAAATGTCATTTGACTTGTTTCCATTAGGGTTCCATTGTAAGCTGTGTATGTGTGAGTTTAGACAAGCATATTCATTCTTGGCTTTTTTTTTTTTTTTTCTTCGTCTGTTACCATACTTCTAACAGCAGCCAACAACGGATTTTAAAGTGTAAAGGCACAGGTTACTCATGATGCTTCTACAGAGACTGTGGGCTACACCACATAATGCTATTTGGAAATATGAGTATTTTAGTACAGTACATACTTGCATTACTTAGGTACTTCATACAACACAATAAAGAGTAAATGTTAAAATGAATTTGCTTGTTTATAATAAACAAGAACATAAGAGAATAAGAATATTTTCTTTAAGTCCAGCTAGGAAAATTCCTTCTCTAAAAGGTTCCTGAACTTTTAAAACAAGGTAAGAAATTATTTCCATCCATTCTGTAATTTTGATTAATTCCCTAAGGCTTGAGATTCTGAAGCCCCTGCCCTCAATTTTAGGAGAAATGAACATGTGAGATCAGAAATTTTTTAAAATTATTATTATCAACTTCTCAGTGCTCATTTCAGTGCATCTCCTCCCTTGAACACCCTCCACAGCAGATTCTTACAAACCCATCTCATCCTGTAGGATAAAGATTTGTCCTCAAGGAAGGCAGTAGAGAGACTTCCCTTTACCTAAGCCTCTGAGATGCCCTGAGGGTGTTGATTAAGGAAACAAGAACTGGAAACACAGATTCTTGTCTTGTCAACTACTCTTTCCCTGCCAAAGAAAATACTTGCACACAATAATTGCCAGTTCTCTCTCAGAAACTTCTGTTTCTCCTTGAGATGTATCCCTGAAAGGACTTCCCCTCCCAACCATCTCAGTGATTCTTTCCCCAGGCTTGGAGTTCTTGAACTTTTATTACCTGATCACCTGAAATAACTTTTGAACTGTGGGTGAGATGCACTGAGGACAACTAACCAAGGAGAGGAGGAAACATTCCCTGGAGCATTGAGTGCTTTCCAACTGTATGTCTTTACCCCACAGCTTACCCAGTGTTCCTTTGCTATTAGACGACACCCCACTATGTACAGTTCCCAGTTCCCAATAGACTTCCCAACCTCTTCTAAATTTTGTCAATGAGGCTAAGTCTGACGAGCTCAGAATTTGTAGTTAGTATTAACAAGGTTCCTTCCACCCCTTCCCTATCTTAATTATTATTGATCATATTCAGACTCTTGTTATACCCTTTATCTGTTGCAGGAAAAGGTCAACTGTTACGTGAGAGGAGAACAAGGTCTCTGCATTTTCTCTGCTGCCTCTCACAACCACAAACCACGCAGAACATCTCTGCTGGTACTGAGTTTGTTTGCCACTGTCTAAGTGATCCTACATCATGCATGTGGTTAGCCATTTTACTTTCTCCAAGCCCATTCACACACACTGTCTCCTGTTAGGTGAACAGACATGCCACCTATTAGGAAGAAGAAACAAAGCCACTTCCAGCATGTATTGAGTTAGTTCTCCTAAGGCAGCCTTTGATCCCTGGTCCCTTTTCTAGGGAGCAGGTGCACAACTGGTGGTAACTTTCTGTTCTACAAAGAAGCCTTTTAGACTCACATCTGCCAAGAGCTGAATTGATGTTTTCAAGCCCTGAACATTCTTCCATTTATAACCTAATTTATCTTCACTTGTTTAAAGATAAGGAAATCTAAGATGCACTGTATTTGCAAACTGAAAGAGAATGGCAAGCTTCCTGTGATCCAACAACCAGTAAAGATGCATGCAATTCACACAGAGAGGGAGGGACCTTTCTTGTTAAGGTAGGCAAAATTCTTAGGGCTGAACTTTTTACTGAACACAAGGCCTAACAAATGACAAGCTATGTTATTTCTGCCTAAAATCATCTGCTTGAAAAGGTCCACATATCAGAGTACTAAGCTACTAAGCCCTTCTTAAATATAAAGTCATTAATTATCACATTTCTGTGAGCCAGTAGCACTATCTGCAAGCACACAGGACTAAATTGGTTGAACAGAAAAAAGAAGCTGACTCTCCAGAATTACAGTCTAGTCATTTTTTATATTACTGCAAGCTGCCTTTTTTCTGAAGGCTCCCTGCAAACACTTGATGTCATGGAATGGAGGAAAGGTAGGAGTCCCTGAATGAAGTTGATAAATATTTTAGAAGAGTATACATTAAAGTATACATTAGATAATGATTCTAACCCTCCTACTGTACAGCCAGGTGAGATTGGATCATTTTACTGTGAAATATATAAACAATAGAACATGGTAATTTGATATTTCTCTAGTAAGAATATCTCCTTTGGAAATTAAGTTAGCAACCTAGTCTCAGATAAAATTCTCAGATTTTAGAATTATTCCCCCAGATTGTGAGTAAACAACTCGTTCCCCCGCCTTAGGTCTGTAAGCCATGTAAATAGGGTGTTGCTCTGTGTTCCCACCCACACTTTTGGACCAGATCCAGCAAAATGAGAAAGGTTTCTGAATGTCAGATGATAAGCCACCATTGGGCTGCATAAGTAGCCTTCAGGCTGTTTGGCTATTTGAGTTTCAGGATAGCCATAACAACAAAACTGTTCTCACACATTAATGTATTGGTACTATCTGAGCAATACATTTATTTTCTAAAGAAGAAAAGTCCCCCTGGTAGATTTAACACATTTGTTTCATCTGACTATACCTAGAGCAGCATGTGGTTTATTCTAAGGGTACACTATTTCCATCCAGCGAACTTTCTGAGAATGTTTAATTTTCACCTTATTCTTAGCACAAGTAGGTCTAAATATTTCCTGCTTGAGTTGTCAGGGCGTCATCATTCTGTGGTAAAATGCTCCAAAGAATGTCATGTGGAGGATCAGGAATTATGCTTGCTTTATGAAGTGATATGTAACGATGAAATCTGTTTTACAACTACTGTGCTGCATTTAATTATCTTCCATTTTTACTTTAAAAAATTCGATAATGATGTCACTTCCATTGGCTTTCAATGGAAGTCAATAATCATCCTTTGAAGGTCAGCCAAATTCCCTTCATGGAAAGCAGATTGACACGGGTGAAAGATAAAAACATCTGCCCAAATCAAAGCCATCGTGCAGAGTAGAGTTAATATTCCAGAGATTCATCATGCAGAGATGTCTGCCATACATCAAAATTAGCAACGCTGAATAAGTGAATTGTGTATTATGCTCACCATAAAATCATTACTGGAATATGTCACAAAACATGTGCGTGATTCACTGCCAAAAGGAACACTGGAGAAAAAGCTTTGAGTTCTGGGGAGGGAGATACCAGGGGCAGCTTCATGCCAAAGAAGGACCCGAAGAGGACCTTGGGATACCCATGAAATTTTTTAATGAGGGACATTCTTAGGAGGAAGGAGATCGTGAGCAAACAAAAGGATACACTCCCATCCTAATAGGGTCTCTACCCCACCTAGAATTGGTATTTTAAAATACTCACTTCTGGGCATGAAATACTGTTCCCACTCCAGAGAAGACCCTTTTGTGGAAGAAGAAAAGATTCTGAAATCAAATAGATGATTCCCAGGGTCAAATGATTATATAAAATTAGCCACCATCCTGGGAAAGCTCATGCCCTGTCCATAGTGCATATTCTGTGAACTGAAGGCCAGAGTAGGGACACCACTAGTGAGGCTGACATGAGAGTCCAGGAAGTCATTCATGATGACGATGAAATGAGAGGCACTCCACCAGATGGAACAAGTTCTTATTACTGTCCCAGGACTTGAACACTCTTAGGCCGCTGTTCCCTCCAGGAACTTCCTCACACCCCTCTCAACCCATCTTTTTCAGGACTGGCTTATCACCTCTGACCCAATATCCTCAGGACCAAGAGAGAAAGCTCCTCAGAAAATAATAAGGAGGTTCCAAATATCACTAAAGAGTCTCAGCTGAGAATTCTTTTTCTAAACTGGGCCTCCAGAATGTGAGAGAGTCAGGGATTCTAGCTAATGGAACAGGAAAACCAACTCAACAGGGTAGAAGCAAATGTCCCCTGAAGTTCTCTCAAATTCCTTAAATTCAGACTCACCAAACTGAGGCCCAGAGAAAGGCAGAAGTCCTGGACTTAGGAGGTCCAGCTTCTTCCCAGGAGTGATTTCTGGATGGTTCTCCCCCATCCCCCCCACACCCCCACCCCCGCCCAAGGAAGACCACATTCACTTCCAGGATGACCCCTTACCCTACAGGGCATATCAGGAAAATGCTCATCTCACCATAGCAAAAGGTCCCCAACATTTATACTACAAATACCTCATAAAATGGTGGACAGATCCTTCCATTACATTTGGGATCTTGGAAATTCCAACAAAGAAAGCATTTGAGATACTCCTTCCATGAAAAATTCCTTCTTTAATATATTCACAGGAAGAATGCATTAAAGCCCCCAAAGGATGTTCTCTTCATACCCCTGGCTGGGCCTTGTTTACCAAAGAAATAGGTAAACCCTAAGTGAAAATGAAAAGGCTCCAGAGCTAGAAAACTGGAGGTGAGTTCCTCTGGATGAGACATTACATTTGGCACAGAGTCCCCTTAGAATAATCCCAGGACTAAGAGCATCTGAAAACCACCAACAATGGGACATGAGTTTGCTTATCAGAGGCCTACTGTAGCAGAACAAATCTCTAGCAACTGGCTTGGGCCAAGGGAGCAAGAGAGACCAGGAAAAGGAGAAACAGTCATGTCACTCAATGTATAATTTTTCCAGGCACACACACACACACACACACACACAATGAAATTGGTTTTTCTAGGAGATTTGCTTGTCACTGAATTGGCCCTCACCAGAGGAGACAATAAAGGATATTGTTGGCTGGTCTGTCCGATGTTGGAAGAGCACATGCAACCATTGCAATTAAATCTAATTTTGAACCAACCAAATTAACACATTAGATTAACACATGGAGATTAATATAAAGCTCCCAATGACTGCTCTCAATGACTGACAAGGTTCCAGTCACCCTACAGGCCAGAAGGCTTCAAGGCATTATGGCTCTGACATCAAATTTTGATGTTTCTACATCACTGTCTGGTATTTCCTCCAGCTTTCCCTCCTCTTAATAGCAGTATTTTAGTGACATAATTTCCTTGAGATTTTGATTTTATGCTGGAATTCTGTATTCTAAGGCAACCCATTGGCAATGCCTCAGAAACACATGAAACTTGAAAAAAAAAAAAAAAGCCTAAAGTGGCATTAAAAATCACATATTGAATTTTCACAGTCAGCAGCAATGTTCAGACATACCTGTGTAAAGAAAGCAGGGGTGTTGCCAAAAGTGGGAGA